TTGTCTAATCCATCCGACTTGTAGTGGGTGATGCATTTTTTGGATTTTTTCTGTAGCTTCCCTTTTTACCAGACTGACAGCATAATGAGCACATCATTCACTGCTCCAGCAAAGCAAAAACCTGTGCATTCGAGAAAGAACGTGCAAGATGGAACTCCGCGAATTTCGATACCAGCAAACCAGCCGTCAAATGCATTCGTCGGAAATATTCACTCCAGGTCTGTGTATTATCAGGGCGAAACGGGTAACTTGGTTTTGCTGTTTGGTGGAAACTTTCCCAACACATCACCTGTTCTCATGACACTAGTATTTATTCCTTACTCTGCTTTGACTCATTATCGTTGTTTTACATTCGTAATGTAAAGGAGATCGCAATGTGAACCAGTAGGAGTTTTATGCCTAAATTTCTAGCAGGATGACATCCAGAACCCTTCTGTGGCATCATATCTCTGAAAAATCTCCGATTTTCAATTCTTGTCACTCCAGAGGCTGTGGATTAGCCTCCTTGCCTTAGTATTAGCTAGTACCAAATCAGCTTTGTTTTCCACTGCTTCATCGAATGGCCCAGAGGTTACGTTTCATATGTTTGATCGGTAGCATAATTCTTCAAGAATGTGTATTGCCCTAAGAACGGAAGAAGTGAGGTCTCCAGTCCATTCGGGTAAACTCGTTGCCAAATAGAGACGAACCGCTGAGCGTATCGTAGTGCCGGTAGCTGTTCATCAGGCCAAATTATGCCCTGCACGTTTTCGTCCTGGTTGCATTGCGAAAGAAAGTTTTCCTTCAAAAAACTTGTCTGAATAAAGTTCCAGACTTTGTGTGATGGGTATGCCTTGTGATGTTTAGCGCTGCTCTTGGCTTTCAAACCACACGCACTAGCAGCTTGGCCAGAACGATAAGCCTCTGCACCATTTGTCTCCGACCAGTACTCGTCGTAAAATAATTGTTCTGGTGTTTCAGATAGGCGATTTTGCGTTTTTTTTTTTTTTTTTGTTTTGGTGCTTCATCGCTCAGAAAATTCTAAAATATAAAGCGTTTGAATGTAAGAAAGAGTGTGAGTCATATTGCATGCGAGAGAATTGTGAGCCTAATGGGCTTTTAGCTATATTGGCAGCTTTCAGGATTTTCGCCTCCTTTTCTTCCCTGTTGCTTTGCTTGTTGCCTCAAGTTGGCTTTTCTCTGTCTTTCACAGTGTTTCTCACTTCATTTTTTGACTGTTTTGTTTGTCTGATTTAGATGTCAAAAATGAATGGATTACTTAACATTCTCATTCATTATACTCAATTATTTAGGATACAGAGTCTGGACCTTGCTCATCTTTTTAGCAATTTTATGTCTGAGGCTTCTCCCCTGTTGTCGGAAGCCTCTCTGTTCATCACTGAAAAAGACAGTTGCGCTCGGAACTCGATATTCTTCGTCTTCCAGCATAATTCATATCATTCAGTGCTGTTCATCACGAAATTCCGTGACTTCGAGGCGAATTTCATGCATTGCTCAGCTACCATGCCAGTGTGGCGCAGCTTCGCTCTATCACACAACTAGCAGTTTTTCACGGTCGCTGCGGCTGAAACTACAGCACGTGTTGATCATCCTACCGCAGTTCTTCTCTTTCGTTTGATTCTTTATCTTCGTTCTGTTCAAGGGAAATTGATAGATGTATTTCGTTCCGTCTGACGGTTTTGTGATTCTCGCCCACCTACTAGCACTTCTATTCAGCTTCCGTCATTAATGCTTTATTTGAGGTGTACTATAGTTGACCATGTAGAAGTTCTAATTGAATTTCCTGCGGATTATGCTAGTTTGTTTTTGTTAAGAAGATTGTAGCAACAAAGTTGACCCTGGAAACCTAATTGGTGAAAGCGCAACAGATAACAATATGAGAGGCAGTAAGAATGAGATAAGTCGTTTCGGTCCATTAAGTCGTGTACGTCTTAACACCGCGACAGGACCTCATCAGTATGGCGTTCACAGTGCTTTAAGGAGACAGAAAAGAAGGAAGACAACAGAAATAAGCAGAAGAAAAGAAGAGTTGGTAGTGGGATAGAATGGAGCAGGAGTGGGGTGAGAGAAGAAAGGAAAAGGAAGTGGGAAGAGAAAGATTTAAAAAGGAAGGTTTAAAAAAAGAGAGATTTAAAAAAACGGAAGGAAAATTAAAGGAACAGTCGCGAGCTTCGATCATACTGGTTTTTTACTGGAACCATTATGCGCTATGCCATTGTCATTGAAGTTTTTACTCCTTTTCGCAGTAGCCCTGGCTGGAAATAAATGAAGACGTAGCGGGATGAGGAAGACGCACGAAACACACGCAGGAAGAAGGTACAAAGAAAGGTAACAGGCGGGATTATGATGACAAACTGTGCAGTAGGCGACAGCAATGAGCTTCAGTGGGTGAAAAGTACTTGGGGAAATGGTACCTGTTTCTGTGAATAACCCAGGTGGGGACGCACCAGGCGAGTCGGTGCGATCATGCGTTTTTGCACCAAACTTGAAATAATTAGGTAGCTGCATGAATGGTTTTTTCTTCACACCTACCTTTTGCGCTCAATACCTTAATAATCGTAAATTTCGCATAAAAGGAAATAAACAATTTCTGTTTAGCTGTCTTTTTTTGAAAATGACCTTAGCCGTTCAGTGAGTAATTTTCCTGCCAAAAATTTAAGTGCCCGTACACGAGAACCACGAGTACGTGGAGGCTGAATTGGAAACCTTTAAGTTGTATTTGGGTGGGGAATATTTTCCTAAAAGCCCAGCTTTCCAACTTTTCTGGTTCCCGAGTTATCAGCTTTCTCGCCAAAATTTTCACAGGGCGGCACGTGATTTGGGGGAATGCCTGGGGGCTGGGTTTGGAATTTTTAAGTTGTATGTAGGCTGGGAACATCCCCTGAAAATTTCAGTCTTCCAGCTTTGTCAATTCCCAAGTTAGCCATTTTCTCGCCAAAAAATTTCACGGGCCGTACGTGAGAACCACGTACGACTGGAGGCTGAATTTGACAACTTTAAGTCGCACATGGGCTGGAAACATTCTCTGAAAATTTCAGCCTCCCAGCTTTCCTTGTTCCCAAGCTGGCGATTTTCGCGCTAGGAACCCTCATGAGGCTGTACGCGGGAACATGCACACCTGGGGGCTGGATTTGAAGTCTTTGAGTTATATGTAGATGAGGAGCATAACCTCAGAGTTTCAGTTTCCTGTCTTTCCTCGTTCCCGAGTTACCAATTTTCCCGCCAAACTTCCACCCCCGGTACACAGGGCCCAGACTTGCGTGAGTTTGGTGCCGCGCTTCTGGGGTGGCACTTGGTCGGGTAGCCCACTAATAAAATCTCGGCGCTGGAAGTTGCTTGGTTGCCGAGTTGAAATACCCGGACAGACGAAACACGCACACACATACACACACAGGGTTGTTGCAATGTGCGTTTTTGCAATTTGCATATAGCAAAAACGCATAAAAATGCGAAGCAGGCAGTTAAAGCAGTAGGAAGAAAGACTCTTAATAGAATAAGAAAGAAGGCGGCGAGCCTCTGTAGTGAACCCTTGTAAAGTAAACTCAGTATTATCTGGTAAGGTGGCTATAAATGGTACCTGTGTGAACCGATGGTTAAATTTTTGTTACATTCACTGTAGTCTTATTAAGTCCCCTTGATGTAAGGAAATCTGCGGTGCTGGAGTATTGACTGACTGGAAAGAGGCATATTCTCGCTGTATAGAGTTCGCGAGCACTGTTTGAAATAATTTGCTGATCGTAGCGTGCTGTCGCCGCTCTGCTCACATGCAGCTTATAGAAAATGAGCTTTTACGTGGTTCATATGCGGTGAAGGATGGGAATGTACGTTCCCACTGTGCGCCAATGTTACATTTCCCAACGCCGTTGTCATGCTTTCTCGAAATTTGGCATTTTTAAGAAGCAGAATTGATAAAACAACGTCTAAGTATGGGCTGAAAAAGGAGAGGTGAAGTGAAAGATTACTACCGGGGGAGGGCATCGGAAGAACTTTGTTTCGCATTTTTGATAGCGTCAAAGACTCTTGATACTCGCAGTTTGACATGTCTTGTTAGTTTTCCTAATTGTGTGAAGGCAAAGGCTATCATTTAGCGATTTATGTCTTGTCTATTTTTCTTTAGTTTTCTTGGTTCGCCTATTTCTGCTGTTTTTTGATAACTTGTTGAAAGCTGCTGAAAAGTCTGTCATACTTGCCGTGTCACATTAGCGAAAACACATCGCTTTTGTGCTGAAGCGAACAAAATTGCTGAAGCAGCAAAAAAAAAATGAAATAATTTGAGCCGATTAGCACTAAATTTGAAGAAATTAGGAAATTCGACAAAGGGAAGGAAAAAAAATCAGAACAGAGGGAAGAAAAATCAGAAAATCAAAATTGGTATTGCAAATTTTGTTGAATGGTGAGGTTCGGAGCTTGAGTTCTTATTTTTTGGCACCAAATTGGCTGGAGAAGGAATGCTTTCAAAGTTGGGGAGAGGGGCTCTTGTCTAGGTAATCTTTCCTCATCTGAATTTTTGGTAGATCGGTAAGTTTTATACATCAGGAGAATATGTTGTAGTTTGAAAAAGTTTTTTTGGCCTTTTTTTTTTATGCAACACTGCTTCTACGTTTCCTTTAGTATCGACTCGAGGACAATTACACGGCCATCGAAGACACGCACGGAGGCGATTGTTGCCCCGCTGCCGAATGCCAAGTCCGAAGACACATCACAAATGGCTACTTCTAATGCCGGTACGTTAAACAGTAGTTAAATCTGCAATGGATATTCGGTGTCGAAAAGGGTAATTTAACAATTACAAAACCTCTGGTGGGTTGCCGGATCCGAGTCTTGGTTGAATTAGGAGAATACGTGAGTCCTCTGCAGCAATCGTTACCCAGGCATCGCTGCGGAAAACCGTTTCATAGGGTTAAATTAGAGTCGAAACCGGAGCTTCTCGCATACAAAGCAGGAATCAAAGTCGAGGCTGTACGAGTGGTGCCAATGTCGAGGCTGTCCGGACGGTTCTAATGTCGGGTTACTCGGGTGATGCAAACGTCAAGGCTGTCCAGGTGGTACCGATGTCGAGGCTGCCCGCGTGGTTCCAGTTTCGTGGCTGTCCGCGTGGTGCTAATGTCGAGGTTGCCGCGGTGGTGCTGATATCGAGTCTGTCCGGATTTCGCGAAGTCGGGGCTGTGCTAGAGATTATGCGGGCAATCGGCTCGCCGGGACGAAACTGACCAGGTTGAGAAATTTGTTGGAAAGGAGAGCGGGTTGGAGTTCTTTTTGCCCCTCCTCCCCGCCTCCTTTGGAAATACATTAACTGTAATTATAACGCGAAAAAACTCTTGAGAAAGATGAGTGGCCGGCGGACGTGATCCGTCAAGCGATAAAATACCAACATCGACAAAAAAGGCAACTACGAAAACTTGGTTCGGTTCGGCTTGGCCGACGTCATACGATTTGCGAACGGTTTTTTCGGGTGTCCTTATGCCGCTGCGGCAGAGGACACTGGGTGCCGCAGGTGAGGTGGCGATGGTGGGGAAGGGAGCGTTGTGTTCGGGTCCCGGGTTCGGGGATTGGAGGCAGAGGGGAAGGGTTAGTAGAGTGGATTGAATGGTCACGTGGCGTGAATCCTTTGGCGGCTGCCTAGGTCACGTAAAGGAGAGGGAATAGGCGAGTGATGGACGGAAAGGAGGAACCGTGCTTTTGGCATTGGCGGATCCAA